GACAATCTTAGTTCTTAATTCTTAGTTCTTAGTTCTTAGTTCTTAGTTCTGAGTTCTTAGTTCTTAGTTCTTAGTTCTTAGTTCTCAGTTCTTAGTTCTTAGTTCTTAGTTCCAGCCTTGTTGAAATTCAATATTTCAATAAGGGTTTCATTAAGAGGTAACCCAAGAAGTAAGAATCCAGACCGAGAGTCCCTCACAATCTTAGTTCTTAGTTCCACCCTTATCGACATTCAATATTTCAATAAGGGTTTCAATAAGAGGAACCTTCATTCTTTCAACCAAGACAGCAGAAAGAATTGCCCTTTCCTCACCCTCCTGTCCGCTCCGCTTGCGCTCTCTGGTTGTTTTTAAAGGGCTTGTTCAAAGCTTATCTAAGGGACTAGGGTTTGACCCTCGGTGTGGGGTTGTTAGATTTTGAGCTCAACCCTTCTCCTCGCCCGGAACTCTTCTCCTCGCCCAGTCTACTCCTACCCCAAAGTGTCCCTGGAGTGCCCAAATTTAGAGTGTTCTTAGAGTGCCCAACCCCAGAGTCTCCCTGGAGTGCCCAACCCCAGAGTTTCCCTGGAGTGCAAAACCCCCCCCCCCCGAGTGCCCAGCCCCAGAGTCTCCCTGGAGTGCCCAACCACAGAGTATCTTCAAGAGAGGGTGGGGATGTTCGAAGTAAAGTAATTTACAGTAAATATTTTCAAGAATTTAAATCCTGAAAGGGGTGCCTAGCAAGGGGAATTGAATGATTGAAATCTGAGCGGGCCTTCGTCTTTATATTATTTAACTTATCTAACTCCCCCCAGAAGGACCCCCCCCCTCCCCTTTCAGGATTTAAAATTAAAAAGTTATTTACATTAATATGGTTAACATGTTTAAGTCCTAAAAGGGCGGCCGGCCTTGGTATGTAAGTAGGGGTCTTCATATGCAATATATTTAAGTTATTTCCTTCCCTCCAGAAGTTGGGAGCTGCCCCGCCCTTTAGGATTTAACTTATGTAAATCATTTAGATTGTATAAATTATCTAATTCTCCCCCCCCCCCCCCCGAATTTACAATTTAGTAGTTTATATATGGAGGAGCCTTCATTATTTAAATTTCGTAGTTCGGGCAGGAGAATTACATACTCTAAATATGGAGGGGCCTTCATATTCAATTAGAGGCCTGCATCTTTAAATTTTCAACTTCGGGGAGGGGGTTTAAAATATTTTAAACCGTTAAATGCTTTGAAGAAAGTAAATCCTGAAAGGGGGGCCTGGCAAAGGGGAACTATGTAATGTAAATATTTTAAATCTGAAGGGGCCTTCACATTTAAAATAGGGGCCTTCATCTTTAAATTATCGACTGCCCCCCCAAAGGGAGGGAGCTGACCCCGCGCCTTTCACTTAGTTGTCCAGTACCTAGGGGTTTTAAAGGTTAACCTTTGGGGTTATAAAGGGGATTATATTAACCCAAAAAGGTTAAAGGTTACGTACTCTACTGCTAAGTTCAGGATTCAAACCATTTAGATTATTTGCACGATTTTAAACTCTTTAATTCCACCCTTTAAGAAAAGCACCCCCTCCTTTCAGGATGTTTATTATCTAAATTATGTACATTATCTAAATCATTAAACTATTTAAATTGTGTAATTCTCCCCCTCCCCCCGACTTAAACAATTTAGGTATTTACATGCGCCATGTTGAAGCCTGGCATAAAACAACATCGATACTCGCTGATCCTTCGTTTCTTAAACGTGGGGTTTTGGAGAGGGGGGGGGGTGCATATATATATATATGTATGTATGTATGTATGTATATATATATATGTATATTTCTGTGCATATGTATATATGGTACCCCCCCCCCCCCCCCAGATCCATACTTTTTGGCTTTGTTTTATGCCTTTGTGAGTTTTTCTCTTTTGTTGTATGTTTTCCTTTTGTTGTCTGCTAAATCTATGTGTTTCTATTATTAAATCCCTTAATGAAAAAATTGAATTTCCATAAGGGTTGGCATTATTGAAACCCTTATTGAATTATTGAAATTCAATAAGGGTGGTCATTATTGAAACCCTTAGTGAAATATTGAATTTCAATAAGCGTTGGCATCATTGAACCCTTATTGAAATACAGAACTCAGAACTAAGAACTAAGACTGCCAGGGACTCTCGGTCTGGATTCTTAGTTCCTAGTACCGCCCTTATTGAAATTCAATATTTCAATAAGGGTTTCAATAAGAGGTAACCCAGGAACTAAGAATCCAGACCGAGAGTCCCTCACAATCTTAGTTCTTAGTTCTTAGTTCTCAGTTCTTAGGTCTGAGTTCTTTGTTCCGCCCTTATTGAAATTCAATATTTCAATAAGGGTTTCAATAAGAGGTAACCCAGGAACTAAGAATCCAGACCGAGAGTCCCTCACAATCTTAGTTCTTAGTTCTTAGTTCTCAGTTCTTAGGTCTGAGTTCTTAGTTCCGCCCTTATTGAAATTCAATATTTCAATAAGGGTTTCAATAAGAGGTAACCCAGGAACTAAGAATCCAGACCGAGAGTCCCTGACAATCTTAGTTCTTAGTTCTTAGTTCTCAGTTCTTAGTTCTGAGTTCTTAGTTCCGCCCTTATTGATATTCAATATTTCAATAAGGGTTTCAATAATACTCAACCCTTATTGAAATTCAATATTTCAATAAGGCTTCAATAAGGAGTATTCTTGAAACCCTTATTGAAATATTGAATTTCAATAAGGGCGCAACTAAGAACTAAGAACTAAGACTGCCAGGGACTCTCGGTCTGGATTCTTAGTTCCTAGTACCGCCCTTACTGTATTGAAATTAAATATGTCAATGAGGGTTTCAATAAGAGGTAACCCAGGAACTGAGAATCCGTACCGAGAGTCCCTGGCAGTCTTAGTTCTTAGTTCTTAGTTCCGCCCTATTGACATTCAATATTTCAATAAGGGTTTCAATAATACTCCACCCTTATTGAAATTCAATATTTCAATAAGGCTTCATTCAACAAGGAGTATTCTTGAAGCCCTAGTTGAAATATTGAATTTCAATAAAGGCGGAACTAAGAACTAAGACTACCAGGGTTTAGGGAAACTCTTGGAGATTGGGAAGAGGCTTCTCCCGGGCAGGCTGAATGCTCAAAACAAAAACCCGCTGCACAAACTCGAAATTCTTGCAGAGTGTCCCGCCGTCGTCGCTGGCTTTTGCGTAATCGTAACCGGCATGCCACACGGAGAGCATCTTCAAGCCATCGGCGGACATCGCTACCATGCCAAGGAAAAGATCATCAAGGGAGACCTGGAGGGAGACCTGGAGGGCGCCATAAACAAAAGTAAGGGTTTAGGGTTTAGGGTTTAGGGTTAGGGTCTAGGGTTTAGGGTTTAGGGTTTAGGGTTTAGGGTTTAGGGTATAGGGTATAGGGTATAGGGTATAGGGTATAGGGTATAGGGTTTAGGGTTTAGGGTTTAGGGTTTAGGGTTTAGGGTTTAGGGTTTATGGTTTATGGTTTAGGGTTTAGGGTTTAGGGTTTAGGGTTTAGGGTTTAGGGTTTAGGGTTTAGGGTTTAGGGTTTAGGGTTTAGGGTTTAGGGTTTAGGGTTTAGGGTTTAGGGTTTAGGGTTTAGGGTTTAGGGTAGGGTTTAGGGAAACCTTGATTTGGGTGTCATAATCTATAGTGTTTAGGGCTCAGGGTCTAGATGGAAGATCCCAGGCATTAAGGGCCCACTTTTGGAAACCCGCCTGGGTCCAGGTAGAGCCCTTGTCGGAGCTCACAAAAAGCCGGTCATCGTACGACTCGGTGGTGCGAAGAAGACTACCCTCTCTCGCTTCGAAATGCTGTTTGGGCTGTGCTCAATCGGGGTCCCTGTCTGAGCAGCTACAGTAGTACAACATGATCTGCATGGCACGGCGCCAAACAAGAGCTCAATATTTAGGACCACACCGAAAAGAACAAGATCGTAAAACCAAGAAGGGAAGAACCATAAAGACCGTGGTTGGGGAGGGTCAGTCAACCCTAAACCCTAAACCCTAAACCCTAAACCCCAAACCCTAAACCCAACTCTCACCAAGTTACAGAAAGCACTTGGGAGGCGCCGTCGGCCGACATTTCAAAGCCCGTCCAGTAGGATGGATCCACCGGCATACTCGTGGATCTCGCCCAGCTGCCACCCATATCTGTACTGATGTACAGGCCACCTTTCTTGGTGGTGTCTGACCCTAAACCCTAAACCCTAAACCCTAAACCCTAAACCCTACTTCGCGTCCAAAAAAAAAGTACCCTCCTTGTCAAAACCCCAGTGCCTTCAGTCCCTCCATTATTCGTAGCGGCGTTGGTCATGGCCGCCATGTAGGAGCCGTCTGCTGTCCTTCAACTTAACCCTAAACCCTAAACCCTGAACCCTAAACCCTAAACCCTAAACCCTAAAAACCTACCTGTAGCCACAAGACTCGCATCGAAGCACCGTTTATAATAAACTACATTTTGTTACCCTAAACCCTAAACCCTAAACCCCAAACCCTAAACCCCAAACCCTAAACCCTAAACCCTAAACCCTGAACCCTGAACCCAAAACCCTAAACCCTAAACCCTAAATCCTAAACCCTAAACACCCCAAGCGCCAAGCAACATCTGCACGGACTGGAACACGGCCCCCGGGAGGTTGGTCTGCGACCAAAGGCCGCCACCAGTGCTTGTCGCAATGACCTATACTGAACTTGGGGGTTTAGGGTTTTAGGGTTTTAGGGTTTGAGGGTTTTAGGGTTTTAGGGTTTAGGGTTTAGGGTTTAGGGTTTAGGGTTTAGGGTTTAGGGTTTAGGGTTTACGGTTTAGGGTTTAGGGTTTAGGGTTTAGGGTTTAGGGTTTAGGGTTTAGGGTTTAGGGTTTAGGGTTTAGGGTTTAGGGTTTAGGGTTTAGGGTCTAGGGTTTAGGGTTTAGGGGTTTCTTAGGAATTATAGTACCCAAAGATTTAAAAAGCTATTTCCAAGTACCCCTAAGTGACGGCATCACCGACAACGACGGTGATTTGGCCATCACCCTACATGGCCATGTCTTGCCAGTCGGGCCTTGGAGGCAGTCATGAACCTCTTCAAAAAATGAGACCAAAAAAGGGTTCAGGGTTTAGGGTTTAGGGTTTAGGGTTGGGCTTAGGGAAGAAGACATCCATCTCACAACAGGGCGAAGGTGCGACGATGTCTGCGTCGCATTCGCATTCTCCACCCAGCTGCTACCGCCATCTGTGCTGGTCCACACACTCGCAGAATCACTCGCAACGGCTGAAATGGTGGACCCGTCCGAAGACATGGCCACAGCTCTCCAGCTCCTGTTGCCAGATTCTGTCCCTGCCCATGTGGCGCCAGAGTCTGTGCTGGTGTAGATCATGCCGTAATCCACTGGAGCAACAAGCTTCGTGCCATCGGAACTCATGGCAACGCGGTGAACGTTGCCCAGGCCGAGTGGCGTTCCGGTCACAACCTGGGCAAGGCACACCGACAACAAGACGAGCGGCAACATCCTTCTCAGCCTGCTATCCCGGGTCTGTTACTCGAGTGAAAGTTCTCTTTGGGCCAAATCTGTGACTCGGATCGACGGACGCGGCTGACCAATTGAAGGGACATCTGCCGCTCTTGGTGGCCCTCTTCAGACCGTAGCAGTTGAAGTGAAGAAGGAATGCAATTAGCCCACCAGCTCGAAACATTACGGGCGTTTCCCAAAATAGGGGTACCCCCTTGTATACCCCAAGTAGAGTAGAATCCCCTTACAGGGACCCCCAACAAGGGTGCCCCTACTGTACTTCTTTCAGGAACCTCCCAAATAGTTGATATTCGTGGAGCACGAGATCTCTCGCGAGTCTCTCGCCAGCACTGACATGCAGACGGCTTGTCGTTTTCAAACCCTAAGCCCTACATCCTAAACCCTAAGATTCCGGGCCCCGAGTTTCGTTTGCAGTTGGCAGCTCCGTCGTAGCAAACATGTGCCAAGACGTGCCAGGCGTTTCTACTTGCGACGTCAGTGGCTTGGAATGAACGAACAAAGACGTAATAGGTAGAAGCCGCTGAACCAGGGTTGAGGTTGAGGGTTGAGGGCTGGGGGCTGAGGGTTGAGGGTTGAGGTTCTCAGCGGCTTAGAGTGGGGGGTTGGGGGGCTGAAGAAGGCTTAGGGGCTTTGGGGTGTGGGATGCAGCGGCTTTAGGGCTTCATGATTCAGGAGGCTTCAGGGTCCAGAGGTCTGGTTTCAGGGTTTGGAAGTTCGGGGGAAAGAGCTTCTATACTCCCCTTAGAACCTTAATAAAAAGAATATTTCTAATATCCCTTTGGGTTTTATAAAAACAAACAAAAAATAAGTCCCAAGGGGGATGTATATAGGCTTAGGGTTCAGGGTGTAGGGGCCTTGCAGCATAGGGTTCATGAGTCGGTGTGCGTGCTTTTTCCGCGGGATCCATCTCGGCGTTTGCGGTCTCGAATCGAAACATCACTCCGAATAACCTAACCTTAAATCCTGAGTGCCTAAACACCTGAACCCTCAACCCTAAACCCTAAACCCCAAACCCTGAGCCCTAAACCCTAAACCCTACACCCTACACCCTAAAGCCCTGAAGCTTATAAAGGCCGGGGGCCTCTTTATCTGTTACCCTTATACCTTATTTTCGCCCCTAGATACCCAAGTAAGAACCCCCTATAAAACAGAAACCCTACTTAAAGAGACCACCAACCAATATAACTAATATAACGTAAAGCCTTAAAGCCCTAAACCCCAAACCCTAAGCCCTGAACCCTAAACCCTACACCTTAAAGCCCTAAGCTCTACAGCCCTAAAGCACTAGAGCCCCAAAAAGACAAACCTCCAGGCCAGGCCGTGATGGTTGCGACACACAGTGGCCCGCAAGGGCGCGTCAGCTCCTAGCGCTTTCAACCCTGGAATTTAAGGTTTAGGGTTTAGGGTTTAGGGTTTAGGGTTTCGGGTTTTGGGTCTAGGGTTTAGGGTTTAGGGTTTGGGGTTTAGGGTTTAGGGTTTAGGGTTTAGGGTTTAGGGTTTAGGGTTTAGGGTTTAGGGTTGAGGGTTTAGGGTTTAGGGTTTAGGGTTTAGGGTTTAGGGTTTAGGGTTTAGGGTTTAGGGTGTCTCAATGAGTGGGCGCGCTGATGCTGGAAGCACCCAGGCGCGCGCCCCGACCTGCATAAGCCCACCCCCGCTGGCGCTCCACCCTCACCTTAACCTCTACGGGTTTAGGGTTCTTTCGAACTCTGATCGTGATTTTGCGATTTTTCTCTTTTCTACTGGTTGGGTTTAGAAGCTCGGCATCGATGCAGATCAATTACCCTGAAGTTCGCATCCACTTGCCGTTGCAAGGGATGATGTCCATCATTCGAGGGCTTCTGGGAGGGCCAAAAAGTCAAAGGTTTGGGATTGGGGTTGGCTGCCGCCTTCGCCCTTGGCGATGCTGCGTCCTTGTTGGGGATTTGGAAAACTTGCTTTGAAGGGCCTGAAGTCAGAGGGGATGGGATGGGGGGTTGCTGCCGCCTTCGCCCTTGCTGATGCTGCATCTGGAAGGCTTTGTTTGGGAGGCGTGGTGGCCTTGTGGTGCCTTCGAAAAGTGCCAAAAAAGTCAGAGGTTTGGGATTGGGGCTGGCTGCCGCCTTCGCCCTGGCTTTGGAAGGGCCTGAAGTTAGACGTTTGGAATGGGGGGGTTGCTGCCGCCTTCGCCCTTGCTGATGCTGCTTGTTTGGGAGGCGTGGTGGGCCTTCTACCGTGACTCATTGTGTTTCAGGCAGGGTTTTCAGGCAGTCAGGCCTTAGGGGTTCACAGGCAGGGGCCAGAAGACCCCTCCCACAAATCCTGGCAGGGCCTCTCAGGCAGGGGGCTCCCAAACAAGGGCGGGGTCTTGCAGGCAGGGGGCCCGACCGTGAGAGGGCGAACGCACGGAGCTCTCAGTTTTGTAGGCAGCTACGGGCTGCGCGGGAACCCGGCAGGTCGCTGCGAGTAACCCGTCAGGTCGCCCCTAGAATAAGATACCCCAAACCTTCGAGTAAAGTGCAGAGCCCTTTTTGTGGGGGCCCCTGCCTGGGAGGCCCCTGCCTGGGGGCGTTTTGGGGTTTAGGGTTTAGGGTTGAGGGTCTAGGGTTTAGGGTTTAGGGTTTAGGGTGAGGGCTTGCAGGGTTCAGACTTCTAAGGCTCATAGGGGTACATGTAGGGTGTCTAAGGGTAAGAGAAGGTATTTACAGGGTTCAGCAGGGTAATTCTGGGGGTCGTGAGTTGGGATGTTCCCCCTTTACCAGTCCTTAATCGGGATTCTGATAAGGGTACTATAATCCCTTTTAAGGACTGCTAGTAAGGGTGAACATCCCAAGTCATAAGCATCTTCATAGGGAAGGGTAGTAAGGTTGTTATACGGGCTTTCAGGCCTCTCTTCTACGCTAGGGTTTAGGAGCCGGTGGTGTGGCGTCCCTAAACCCTAAACCCTAAACCCTAAACCCAACACCCTAAGCCGAAGCACTCGGCTGTGGGAGGCCTAACTCACAGGCTAGACGCCCAAGCCTAAGAAAAGCTGCAGCCCCCTTTCAGAACCGGGAGAAAGGAACCCCTACCAGCAACCCATATCAACCCTACAGCCCCTCCCATAAAAACCTGAAGCCCTCCTAAACCCTAAACCCTAAACCCTAAACCCTAAACCCTAAAAAGCCCTCCCTCTCTGCAGCCCTAAAGCCTGCCAACCCTTGATCCTATAAACTCTAAACCGGCCCCTAAACCCTATACAAGCCCCTAAAGCCCCTAAAGCCCCGCAAGCCCGCCTAAAGCCCCCTAGAGCCCTTAAAGCCCCCTAGAGCCCCCCTAAAGCCCCCCCCAAAACCCCAAAGGGCCCTGAAGCCCCCTTAGAAGCGCCCTGAAAGCCCCGAAAAATCCTGAAAGCCCCTAAGAGCCCCTAAGAGCCCCTAAAAGCCCCTAAAAACCCCTAAAAACCCCCCTGAACGCCTTAAAAGTGACCTGACAGCCCCTGAACCCTAAACCCTGAACCCTGAACCCTAAACCCTAAACCCTAAACCCTAAACCCTAAACCCTAAACCCTAAAGCCCCCTGAAGCCCCGAGAAAAAAGCTCCCCAGGTGCCTCCTCCGTGAGGTCAGGGGTCGGGGATGCTTTTCGGGCTCTCCTCCTGGAGCCAGAAGCTACGCAAGGCCCTTAAGCAAGGTTCAGGGTTTAGGGTTTGGGGTTTGGGGTTTGGGGTTTAGGAGGGTTTAGGAGGGTTTAGGAAGGTTGTAGGAGGGTTTCGGAGGGTTTAGGAGGGTTTAGGACGGTTTAGGAAGGTTTATGGTTTGGGGTTTAAGGTTTCGGGTTTCGGGTTTCGGGTTCAGAGGTTCGTGGTTCTTGGCTTGAAGGCTGTAGGGTTTCTTGGCTTTAGGTCTTCTAGGGCTTGGAGGGTTCAGGTTGGGATGTTTCCCTTTATACTAACAGTCCTTCATAGGGACTCTAATAGGGGTACTACCAAACAGCACTGAAAACCCTAAAACATGTGTTTTAAGCCCTAAAAGCCTTAAAGCCCTAAAAACCCGAGAAGAGTCCTAAAACCCGAAAAGACTTTGAAACGCCACAAAACCCTAAAAGCCCTCAACAGCCCTTCACCAAAAAAATGCCTTAAAAGCCGAAAGCCCCAAAGCAGCGAAAGCCTTAAAACCCTCAGATGTGCAAACTTACACCCAAAGCTACTCATTGCTTAAGAATCACGAAAAAAAACATATAATACACACATATATATATACATACATATATATTCTTCCTTACTAAGGGGAATATAGGGATTGTTATTTTCATTCTTTTGGGGCTCTTAAGCAAATAGTAGAAACAGCACCTCCGTCGATCTTCAACTCCCAAACACAGCTTCAACCCTAAACCCTAAACTCTACACGGTTTAGGGCTTAGGGCTTAGGGCTTATGGTTTCGGGTTTCGGGTTTAGGGTTTAGGGTTTAGGGTTTAGGGTTTAGGGTTTAGGGTTTAGGGTGGTGGGTTCCCAGGTTGAGGCCTCAGATCTCGCAAAGGCCAGCGACGCCTGTAGCTAGTCCCCCAAACCCCCCGAAACCCAAAGCCTCGAAGCCACTAAAGCCTAAACCCTAAACCCTGGGTTCCTTTCCGAACTTCTATGTAGGGTTTTCGGGTAGAGCTCTATCAGGGGTCTTTTGGGGCTTGTTACGGTGCAGGGTAGGTAGGGCTGGGTTTAGGGTTTAGGGCTTAGGGCTTAGGGCTTAGGGCTTAGGGCTTAGGGCTTCGGGCTTAGGGCTTCGGGTTTCGGGTTTAGGGTTTAGGGTTTTGGGTTTAGGGTTTAGGGTTTAGGGTTAATGGGGAGAGCGCAATTGATGAGACCTAAAAGAACCAAACCCTAAGCCCCATGGTCGGTTTGGATGTAATTCTCAGGGACGGAGCATGTAAGCAATCTTGTCCAATCTCGCGCTGAGCTTTCCTGCTTTGAAGGGACGAATCGGTCATGATGTTGCGCAAAACACATTGCATTGGCAAATCAAGGCACC